TCAGTTGCAGCAACATCAGTTGCAACAACACTAGATGTTAATATAGAAGGCTGGTGTTGAGTAACATTCTCCATTCCTGAAAATTAATGAAGATTATAATCAACACACAACCAACATTATTAACTCATTAAGTGTTTAGATGCTTAGTGAAAATAAGTTTTTGGTTGTTGTGGTATATTACACTCTTTATTTAGTTTTAATGACATTGACTAGATGCTTAGTTTTAAGGATAATCCAGGTTCTGCAATTCTCAATAAATGTTACTAAATTGTTTGCACTCATAATGAATACACCACTTTTCCTTTTCAGAATAATACTAGGTTCTGTAGTTTAAAGGATAACACAATAGCTATAATGTCTCATATAACTCATAATGACTACAAGCATTAACGACAAAACCGAGGTTTACCAAAATTGCCACAGATTTGACAAAAAAAATGGCAACAACTTTCAGTTGGATAACACAGTAGCTACAATGTCTCATATAACCAATCCAGCAGGAAACACAAACAAAGCTTGTCACAAACGTAGTCGAAATAGTCATAACCATAACACCATTAAGTAGAAACATATTTAGAAAATAAAATGCAATACATTTAAGCTCTGCATCACAACAGTAGCAATCCTGTATTTGTGACACATCCATGGAAACACAGGGTGGAATTGCAATATTATTTAATAAGCTATGTCAATACAATCCCAACAAAAGAAACAAATACTCAACACAAGATAGAATAAGTAATACACACCGACGTTAAGACGAAATAACATTTCAAAGCTGCAACATTCATCTTATGCCGAAACACAATTAAAATTTATGATAATACAAAGACAAAACTCAAACAAACTCATAGTTTAAGACAATACCAAACAATGTTGAAGTGGTCGCTATTACCGCAAATGTCGCTACTGCTGCCTGAGTTTGCTGTGTATATTCCTTGGAATTGAGTTGCAGAGTTAGAATTGAACTGAACTCATCAACATCATTTTCTCTACAATAGAAAACACAAAAAATGGGTAATCTTATGTTCTTCACTAAAGTTCAAAACAAAAACCCGAAAAATGGGTAATCTTAAGTTCTAGTAAAGTTCATAACGAAAACGAAAAACGCGAAAACTGCAAATGAAACGAAAGTTGTACTTACATTGGAAAATGGAGAATAGTCGAACGAACTAGACGAATAGCATATTAAGACTAGAATGGAACGAATAGAGACGGCGGCGCAAATTGAAAGGTTCGTTTTTAGGGTTCAGATCAGTCAAGTAGCTGTTCACTCTGTGTGAAGAATGAATCTTCATGAAATGTTTAAAATACAGGCGCAAAATGGAACAGAAAGTTGGTATTTAAGGTTTGTATTGTGAAGAATGAAGAAAAGAGAAACAACAAAGTTTTGGAAAGATAGGGTTCAAATGAAATGAAATGAGAATGGAGAGTAGTAGTTGTATACAAACGTTGCGTTGAACACTTACAGTCGGGCGGGTATGGTTACCCACGGTTTCAATTTGCTGAACCAGACCCGCCCAGTAGAGCTCATACGAAACCGTGTTTTGGACCCGCAAAACCGTCAAACCGTGTGCATCCGGCCCAATTCATTTTTTTAACCGTCGGTTGATGTGGGTTGGACCGATTTTCGGGTCCTTGTCCAGCCCTAAGTAGTTTTATACAAACGCTGCGTTGAACACTTACAGTCGGGCGGATATGGTTACCCACGGTTTCAATTTGCTGAATCGGACCCGCCCAGTAGAGCCCATACGAAACCGTATTTTGGACCCGCAAAACCGTCAAACCGTGTGCATCCAGCCCAATTCATTTTTTTAACCGTCGGTTGATGTGAGTTGGACCGGTTTTCGGGTCCTTGTCCAGCCCTACAACCAAGAGACTATTCCTCAATTTGTGACGGACTGAGGTAAGCGCGTGACACCGCGCGCATGTAAACCATTTTGTTTTAGCTCAAAAAGCACTTTTCTCTTTTCCATACTCAAAGTGCTTAATTACACATACTCACAAAAAAAAACTCATAAACGAGGTGTAAGTAAGCGTGAAAGGAAACTAAGACATGCGAATATGTCTACGTGGGAATGCATGTTTTCATCTAATTTACGTGTCTAATGTATTATGTAGATTTTAATGTATTATGTAGATTTTAATTGCCTAAGTATTGTATTATGTATATCGGCTTCTTGGCTTTATAACCACAACCTAGAATGCCATCTCATAAGTTACTTTCTACATTCAATTTTGCTTATATCATTTTTATTCATTTTACTATATTTGACCATGTTTTAAGTCAACTTCTTCCTTATATTCCTCTAACTTTCTTATTATACTTTTTTTTTTTTCTTATTAGGTTTTTGCATATTTTTACAATATGTATCTTACAAATTTCACATTACTACCATAAAGTTATATACGCTCCTCTTAACAAAATAAAACAAAAAATATACGTATTTATTTAAATTTTGGATAAAACGTACTATATACTTTTTTCTCAAATTTTTAATTATTTATAAAATAAAAAAAAGAACTTATTTTAATAAACTATTGTCATTCATAAGAGATAACACGAATCAACAATTACGTAAAATATAAAACATAAACACATATTTAAAAAGAATGAATTTAAATAAAGGTGCAACCATGTATCATGTTGAACCATATCATATGAGTTAACTTTTAAATATTATATTTTATTAAAAATATATTAATTTTTAGTTAATAGATTAATATTATTATTATTATGATTAATGTTTATAATTCTGTTGAATTAAAATTTTTAACATTATTATTGAGACTAATCTTTTAAACTTATGTTGAATTAATATTTTTAACATTTTTTTTATGTTGAGACTAATTTTTAAAACGATTTAGAATTTATTTTTTAATATTGTTCTACTGATAGATCTAATTTTATTTTGAACTTTAACACACCAATTCAAATTGTAAGAAAAAAATAAAACCACTATAGTTACCTTTATTATACACAGAAAATGAAATAATTATACGCTATCGACCAATTAAAAACCTATATTTCGCCAAATCACGCATTTATTTTAAAATTTAATTAATAACATAACAGATTAATAAATATTTATTGAATACCCATGTAAAATTTTACACTATTAATGTAATACTTTTAATCTCATACATCTGTAGATAAAAGTTGTTTTTCAACAAAATTTATATTATAATTTCTTTTTTTCTGTTTTTTATTATAAGCAGCTTTGAAAAAAGCCGGGTACTATATATTTTACAATTCTAATACATCATTAATACTATTTTGAAATATACTTTCAAGTACTATTATATATATATATATATATATATATATATATATATATATATATATATATATATATATATATATATATATATATATATATATATATATATATATATATATATATATATATATATATATATATATATATATATATATATATATATATATATATATATATATATATATATATATATATATATATATATATATATATATATATATATATATATATATATATATATATATTCTTATACCTAAATCCTACACCTAAATTGTATTCTATTGTCCATCAATATAGTGAATAGTAAAATATTATAATAATATATTATTTAATATATATATATATATATATATATATATATATATATATATATATATATATATATATATATATATATATATATATATATATATATATATATATATATATATATATATATATATATATATATATATATATATATATATATATATTCTTATACCTAAATCCTACACCTAAATTGTATTCTATTGTCCATCAATATAGTGAATAGTAAAATATTATAATAATATATTATTTAATATATATATATATATATATATATATATATATATATATATATATATATATATATATATATATATATATATATATATATATATATATATATATATATATATATATATATATATATATATATATATATATATATATATATATATATATATATATATATATATATATATATATATAATTTTTAGATTAAATGATATTGATATAAATTGTATAATTAACTAATTTTATAATTTCATTAACTAATCTTTTATATTTTATTAAATAATTTTGTTTACTAGTAAAAAATATTTTTAATATTGGGATATTTATTAACCAACTTTATAATTTTATTAAATAACTTTTTCATTTTTTATTAACCAACTTTGATTTACTATTAATATGTGAACATTTATTAACTAATTTTATCACTTTATTAACCAATTTTTTATATTTTATTAATCAACATTATTTTACTATTTAAAGTCGCTGTTTACAAATACTTATTACGTGCATTGTTTACAAATAATGTTCAAGCACTCTTTATAAACAAATATTTTATATTTTAAAGAAAACAATATCGTTATATAAATACAATTAATAATGTATATAATATATGTATTTGGTGTAAAAAGAGTGACAAGTTAGTAGTACTATATTAATTTCTGAAATTAATATTTCTCATAGAGACAATTTTGTACAACACTTCATAATTTTTGTTTTTCATATATTAGTACCAAAATTACTTAAGATAAGAACGGAGATAGGAGTAGTAATTAAAAAAAGCATATAAGATAAGCAATTATTCCTTTCCTCCATAGACAAAGAATGTCTGGAAAATACCCAAAAGAATGTCTAAAGAAAATTATATCACAGAGACTTCAATTCCTTTCACCTTTTTAACCTTTTATTTTCACCCAATGATGAACGCATTTTTGAACAATTTTCAGTTTCAGAGTTTCCGTGTCTGAAATTTTCCTTTTATCCATCGAAACTCTTTATGACTAAACTTCATGCACCTTTACGGTACACAAAAGCTGCACTAAACGACAACCATTTTCTGCTACACAAAACGTTACCTAGTTGTAGTATTTATTCTCTTTTGTTTCTTCATAACACCACTTTCACCACTCTTTCCATTCCCTTCTCAACAAAAATAGAGAAAAAACTCAATCCTCATCTCAAACTATGTCTTCATCTTCATCTTCTCCTGCTAGCGGAGTTGTTGATAACAATAACTCTTCAAATCCGTCCGAGATGAGTCTAAAAGCACCTATGGTTAGACCTTATAGTCGATCCAAAATGTCTCGACTTCGATGGACACCAGATCTTCACCGTTGCTTTCTGCATGCAGTTCGAAAGCTTGAAAGAGAAGAAAGTAAGCTACCTATCATTTTTTTTTTATTTTCATTCCCTCTAATTGATTAACAGAACATTTACTATTAAAAAAATATTGTATGTTTGTATATTCAGGAGGGGCTACACCAAAGTTAATTTTACAACTAATGAATGTTAAGGGACTTACTATTTCTCATGTCAAAAGCCACCTTCAGGTACTCTTTTTTATCATTATTTATAACCACTATCTTCTGTTTTTCTAAATAAAAAATAATACTAATTTTTCTTATTTTTTTAATCATGAAATTTAAATATTAATGACAGATGTACAGGAGCATGAAACATGAAGAAATGAGTCAAGGTATTGATATTTTTCAGTTACTGAATTAAAAACATGTTGTATCATGTACAGAAAAACATGTAAATGTATATTTGTAAATGGAAGAAAAGTTTAATGAAGAGTATATTAGACATATTGTTTGGTACAATAGAGGAAATTTGATCTGTGAAAAGTGAAAAAGGAAATATTTATATACTGTGACATATTATGCTAAGAAAATAGAGGAATCAAACAAGACTTAGTCACATCAGCATAACTGGTTTTGATTCCCTATTCCGTGACCAACTTAAACTAAAGTTATAAAGTCAAATATTCTTCATGATTTTGTTCCAAGAAAACTATCATTTTGTGTTGGCCTACAACTCTATTTTCGTCACCATCTTACTCATTAGGTTTTTTCATGAGCAAATTGTATACATTAATATAAACTTGGTAGAATCAGAAAGTTTTAGCGAGTGTTTGGAAATGCGGCGAAGATAAGTATTTTGATAAGTATATTGTAATTTATGTTTAACAGAAGCAAAGAAGAATGTTATGGCAGCAAATTTATTAGCTTCTAGAATGATATCCTCCTCAGCCTTTGTTTCAAGCTACCTACAAACTCCTGGCCAAAGACAGTAATTCTTTGAACTTCATATTTTATTATTCATCCTCTCTTTTAATTTTTTACGGTGCTTATAATTCTTTAACATTTTGTTTTTCATTATAATTTAGAATTTTTCTCTTAATTATTTCAGGAATGGTTATGAACCAGGATCTTACAATGGAAATCAAGGTAATAAATCGGTTGTAATTTGTAACAGCGAGGAAAGGAAGAAGCACACTTACATCATCTTCGACGGTATTTTCAGCACCGTCCAAGTAATTCGTTTCTCTCAGTCTCTGATTTTACATGACTTGTTTCGTTATGATAAAGAGTTATAGCAACATATTTATATTAAAAAAGTGTTTTTCTTTTCAGGCAAACAAAAGGGACCAACAAGGATTCAAAGAAATAACAACCAGAGGAAAGGAAGTGAATGAAAAAGAGACGGATGATTTGTCTCTTGAGCTCACGCTAACTTGAAGTCAAGCTTCATGAATCTTTTTCTGATGTTTATATCTTTATCATAGAACTTTTATGCACAAAGTGCATAATTTCGGAAGAATCTGTAACATGAAAGTTAGGATTAGATATGGTAATGGTATATGATGAGTTATAGAGATATTATACTATTTTGCTTGCAATCTTGGGTTTTGTTGAGATCACTGGCTGGTTTATTAAATTGTTCTGGTTGATTTGCTGGTTTAGGTAGGATTTACTTGTTTTCAAATTAATTTGGTATTATCTTAAGTATGTGATTCTTTTTATGGTAGAGAATATGATTTTGTGATGATTTATAATCCCTTTGGAGGTATAAGATAAATTATTCCGCTATCATGATCATAATAACATTATATTCCTCCTCATTTATTATTGGATGTGCTTAAGTCTAATAAAAGAAACTATATATTTTACTAGTTAGATTTATATCCCATTTTTTAAAAGGCTAAGGTTTAATTACTAGATGCAATAATCAAACTAGTTGTAATAATCTGACTAGTTGCAGGTGATATTTTTCACATTTGAAGTAGTTAAATATCCGGTTAAATAGACTTGTGGCTTTAAATTGAAGTTGCAGCCATGAATGTGTAGCTAGGAAGTTGTGATTGTGGTTATTGTGTTTGTTTGAGCCGTATTGCGGTCGTTATCCGTTAAACTTCACCACAAAAGTATGAATGCAGTTACGAAGTTGTGATTGTGGTTATTGTGTTTGTTTGAGCCGTATTGCGGTAGTTATCCGTTAAATTTCACCACAAAAGTAATATTTGAATTATATATATATATATATATATATATATATATATATATATATATATATATATATATATATATATATATATATATATATATATATATATATATATATATATATATATATATATATATATATATATTACAAGACTACCTGTTTACAATCTGTTATAAAATCTACTAATCTTAAGAATTCCAATCATAAATGACTCCTAAATATAAGGTAACTGCAATAGCCAATAACAACACATAAATGTGTAATAATAACAATAACCTCCACCAGTGGAAGATAGAGCAAAATATGCAATAAATCTCAATAATCTCAATACCCCCCTCAAGTTGGAGCGTGAAGATCTCGAATGTCCAACTTGCGAAGAAGGAACTCAAATTGCACTTTTCCCATAGCTTTTGGAAAAATGTCTGCTAATTGTACCGATGTGGGAACATACATAGGACAAATAGTTCCAGCCATAACCGCATCACGAACAAAGTGACAATCAGCTTCAATATGTTTTGTTCGCTTATGAAACACTGAATTTTGAGCTATATGCAATATTGATTGACTATCACAATACAATCACATCACTACGCAAAAATTGGTTTTTTGTATCGCCTACTTTAATAGCGCTTTTTAAATAAGCGCTATTAAAAAGGAAACAAACATATTTATAATAGCGCTTTATAGTAAAGCGCTATTAAAGAGTACAGAGAATATAATTTTGATAGCACTTTGTAAAAAAGCGCTATTATAGATATTCACTAAGATAGCGCTTTTCTAAAAAGCGCTATTAAAATGTTGTATTACAATAGCACTTTTATAAAAGTGCTATTATTAAAAGCACTACGATAGCGCTTTTTAAAAATCGTTATTAAAATATGTAACTACAATAGCGCTTTCTATGGAACCGCTATCGTTTCTATAATTGTGTTTTAAGATAGCGCTTTTTTAAAAAGCGCTATTAAAATATTCCACTAAATTAAATTAATTAAAATATGAAAACCTTTCCTGGCCCAAATGTTTTTCGTTTTGGCGCAAAATTCTTTCACCCATGCAAAAAAGCACATCTTCACCGCTTCTTCATCGATTCACCGCTTCTTCATCGATTCACAACCATCGATTCACAGCCATCTTCTTCACTTCACTGGAATAAAAAGACGAACCCTAAGACATCTCACCACCGTCATCCTTCTCCGTCGATCTCAGCCGCCGTCATCAGCTCACCACCGTCATCCTTCTCCGTCGAAAGGAGCCGCCGTCATCAGCTCACCACCGTCACCCTTCTCCGTCGAAAGGAGCCGCCGTCATCAGCTCACCACCGTCACCCTTCTCTTCATTGATATCCGGTAATCTTTCTTTTCTCAGATTATTGCTTTGTGTTAAATTGTAAAATTAGGGATTTGAATGCTTTGTGTTGTAAATTGTAAAATTAGGGATTTGAATTTGATTTTCATTTTCTTGAAGAACTGTTGGCATTTCATGAAATATGATATTTTAGCTTTTATGAGGGATTTTCATAGTTTTTCTCACTTACCCAAGGCTGTAACGTCTTCTTTTTTAACTCACATCCCTAAGGTTTCAAACCCTTTAAGCTTAGGTGATTATAGGCCGATTTGTTTGGTGGGGAGCCTTTATAAAATTGTTGCAAAATTACTGGAAGCAAGATTGAAAAGAGTGATTGGTAGTCTTGTTTCTCAATGTCAATCTACTTTCGTCCCCGGAAGACAACTGTTGGATGGTGTTGTTGTTGCTAACGAAGTTATAGATAAGGCTACTAGAGATAACATTCCTGTTCCAACTCCCTTCACAAGTGCCTCCCCCTTGCTTATGACATACTGTTTATCCATGTTCTCTGTGAAGGATTTGACTGCCAAACCCTCCCCAACAAAAGCATATACTGTTTTTATTTGTGATATGGTCTGTCATAATATCAGTATTAGAGTTTGTTATAATCAGCTATGTGACAATAGATTAGACTAAAAGTATCACTGATATTGAACACTTGGATTGTGTATATGTATAAAATGCACAATTTGTCATGTTGTAAATCATAGTATTGCACCATGCATGGATCGATGTCGTATACCTGTTCTATCATAGACGTGGCTTCAGAATGGTAAAACAATTCCATAGTCGAGATTCTGTTCATTTTCTTAGTGTAACTTGCTCCAATTATGAGAATAAGAGGGACAACCACTAAACACAGAAGTGCTACTTCCCAACAGGATATTGTGGCGATCACAATCCCGGCAAAGAAAGTTGCACAGCTAGAGGTAAAGTGACCCAACTGTGATCAAGAAATTCACTTGCTTGGTTCAGTCATAAAAAGAAAGATTAAACTTGTTACAATTATTTATTTGCTTATCTTTTCACCAATTGCATCTTGTATAACACTCATGTGCTTGCTTATTCCAGTGATGACTTTTCCACTTGTTAATTCTGTATCAAAAGCTCCTATCTCTTGGCTTAGAACTGCTTTTAGATATGCTAATCTTAGGCGTGATAACTGTCTTTCACTTGCATACATCCAACAACCAATCTCTGCATAAATTTTCATCTGGTGAATTGTAGAATTGACAATTGATAGTTTCTATGAACTTATTTCTATGAATTTTTTAGCAATGCTGTATGAACTTATTTGTTAGCAATGCTGTATGAACTTATTTATACATATTTTTTTATCAATAGTTTCTATGAATTACTACTTTTGTTAGCAAACAGGAATTTATCCTTAATTCATAATAAATAAAGGAGCTATAGGTTTTAGTTAGTGGCTACAATGAAATGATAAAAGTTTAATGATATAATTGACACAATTTCTTTCATTATATTTGTGAGTTCTATCAGAGACAGGAAACAAACATAGATTGTTTAGAAGAGTTCATGCACAGGCATGAAATATAATCTAATGTTGCTAGACTCAGCATGTAAAACATTCCTCTCATTACACAAGTCTCATATATCATGGCTTTTTCTTTTATCAAGTGAACTTTTATATTATGTGGTTAAAACTTAAGAAAAGGGGAAAAATGATGGTAGGAGATAATACTCACAGGTCGGAGCAGCTTCCAAGTCTCTGTAAATGATATAATTAAGCCATCGTCCCTCCAATTTAGATGAATTTATTTTGCTACACTCAGACTGCAAATAATAGTTAGAATATGTATAAAGAGTAAGTTATGTGTAACTTACGATTGAAAATGAATTTCTTTTTTCCGGCAGCTTAGTAACTAAAAATGAAGTAAATGTTTGGTGAACATAAACCCCACATTGATTTATGAATAAGTTTTGAAAAGGTATATAACTAACTGAAACAAACAAATAATAGTAACATAAGTAGATTGTAATAAAGCTGAAAAGGTATCTTGTACTAATTGGTTTTGCTTTGTCTGAATTTGTTGTTACAGTGCTCGATGCGTTGTGCTTCATTCGCGTTGTTTCTTTAAATTGTTTCAGACACTTAACATCAGAGTCTTTACCTCTTTTTATCAACCAATTGCTTGTGAGAATACAAACTGTGATGAAGATCTTCCTCAATCCTAAGCTGTGAAGTGCCTTCAATACGAGGTAAATGATCAATTTAATCCTAAGCTGTATAATTGGAACTGCTGGAATAAAGTCCGGGTATGAGGTAGTTGTTGATGTAGTCATTATTCACCATCACGACAATTGCTATAGGAAAACGACGAATCCAACTGACGAGAATCAATTCCTAGCCAAATCTATAGCAATTGTCGTGGCGGTGAAGAGTTGAGTTGGATGACAATATTCACAGGTGCACAAATGCTTTCAATGTACAGTAAAGACTTTAAGTTTCTGCTTAATTAGTAAGTGTTTTAAAAATCTTTGGGAAGATTAAAAGTACCAAGTAGATGAGGGGAAACAACACGTTGCCCAAGAGATGAATTTCCTTGAAATTTTTTGAAATCATGATTGACCAAAAGACATGTCCCTTGTTCTGTCGTTGCTTCAGCTTATAGGCATTAAAATGATTATATGATTTTATAGAAGACTGATATTTTCTAGTATAAACTATCCCTTCATTATTATGCTATAGATTTAGAAACTTAAAAACATGCCTTTTCAAACTCTGAAGAGTTTAAACAGGTATTTTAGATATACTTTAAGATAATTATTAAGAGTGCAATGAGCAACCCCGTTTAAAAAAAAATTGGCTTAATATAACCTAGATCTACATATGTCCTAACTTTTGGCTTATTTATTCTCAAATTAA